TGCTTTAGAGTAAAGATAAAAACAATCTAAGGCTCCCCACCTTGCACCTGTAGGTTAAGAAGAATTTCATCTGATCCCCAGTTATTACTTGTCACGCAGCTATAGTACCCAGAATCCTCTGCTTTCACAGTGCGGATGACAAAGCTTCCATTGTTAAAGATGCTTCTCCGTCCATCGGTGACCACAGGGCTCGGTGTTCCATTACTAAACCAGAAGAAAACAGAGAGATTGGTCTGACTGTGCACAAAAACAACCATAAGTAGCACAAACTGTGAGACAAAACCTGGTTCGACTCATTGGAGATAATATTCAGGGAGTGTTAGAAACAACTCCTCTTAGCTGCCTCCTCACCAATCAAATGGGGTGATGCAGTGGCTCAGTGGTAAGCGCTACTGTCTCATGGCTTCGCAGATCCGGGTTCAATTCCATCCACAGGCTGCACATTCTCCCCATGTCTGCTCTGGTTTCCTCCCACAGTTCAAAGGCATGTAAGTTATGAGGATTGGCCATGCTAAATTGCCCATTGTGTCCAGGGATTGTCAGGCTAGGTGGATTAGCCATGGTAAATCCAAGGTTATAGGGATCGGGTGGGGGGAGTGGGTCCAGGTGAGATGCTATTCAGAGGGTTGGTGTGGATTTGATGGGCTAAATGGCCTACTTCCATACTGTAGGGCTTTTGTGATTCTGTGAATTTCTTCATGCCTTGCTCCCTTCCTAGCACCCACCTGACTGGTCCTGGTGAGTATGATCCCACTCACTTTGGTCCTGAGGGCTCCTGCCTGGTTGTAGTCCCAGCATTGGACACCGATATCAGGCTGGTGATTGCTTGGTGACGGTCAAGTCCAGTCAGGGGACCCAGAAGTGGACAAGGCAGGCTTGAACCCCATCCCCAACTTTCTGAATAGGAGGCAGGGCCACCGCTGCCTACTAACCAGTCAGTCTATGTGCGAGGGCATGTATTGGCCAGTATTCATCGCCCAGAAACATACATGTGCTTCATTTGCAGTGGTTATGTCCCTAGCTGGGTGCATGTTGAAGCTGGCAGCTTCCTATGCTGGGTGTAGACTCTCCACTTACCTGTTCTTCATCCATTTGATTGTAGGGGCCGGGTCCCCAACTGCTTTACACGGCAATACGATGTCTCGCATCCATGGTGTTGTCACGGTGCCGCTGAATGTCAGGATCCGGGCTGGTGCTGGTAACAACCACAACAGCAAGTTAAAACCTTCCCCTGGTTAAAGGAATCAAAGGGTTTGGCGACAATGTGGGAATGTGTACTGAGTTGGATGGTCATCCATGATCAGATTGAATGGCAGAGCAGGCTTGAAGGGCCGAATGGTCTACCCCTAGTTTCCAAGCTTGTAACTTTCATCCAAGCATAGAATTAAAGTTGACACAGAAGCCATCAGCAACATCAAAGGTAGATGAGGCCCTTCATTAAGAGAATGAGAGATGGCCAAACTGAGTGTTGGGTTTTTCATGGGGTGTCAATCTCACAGACTGTCACATTGCTCCTTTCTTTACAAAACAAGAGAGCTCTGCCTTGCTGACAGGAGAGTCTGATCAGGGATACTTCAGAAATGGAGAGCTGTAATTCCATTCTGAAACACTGTCATTTGCAAAGAACAGCTGGGAGCAAGGCAAACCATTCCCCAATTTTTCACAGCTGGCAGCTGCCAGATTCTGAAATTTAAACATGCAGTATCCCACACAGCCACATTGTCAACTGCTGTCAAAGTGTAAGTACGTAAGGTAGTTGTGAGGTTAGGCCAGGTGGGTAATAGAGTAGGGGACCAGGTAATTAAGGTACAAGGTGGATACGTAGCCAGAAATAGGATGTCAGGTGGGTACAGTGCTACGGGATGGGGTAGAGCTAGGTAGGATGACAAGGGGATCAGGTGAGTGTGCGAGCGTTCAGGGTAGGGGAGAGATAACAGGGCTGGACAGTTGGGGGAGGGGTTGGAGTGGGTATTGTCACAGCAGCTGAGGACGGTGCTGGGCCCAACAGCAGCACGAGTTGGGGTCCTCATGGGCAGGTAGTGGAATGGGGTTTCAGGGTCAGGGTCTGTATGAGGTCTGGAGTGGGTTGGGGTGTCAGATTTTTTCTTTATTCATTCGCAGGATGAGGGCATCACTGGCTAGGCCAGCATTTATTGCCCATCCCTCATTGCCCAGAGGGCAGTTCAGAGTCAACCACATTGCTGTGGTACTGGAGTCACATGTAGGCCAGAACAGGTAAGGATGGCAGTTTCCTTCCCTAAAGGGCATTAGTGAACGAGCTGGGCGTTTCAAATAATCGACAATAGATTCACGGTCATCATTAGATTCTTAATTCCGGATATTTTTATTGAATTTTAATTCCACCATCTGGTGTGGTGGGATTCAAAACCCATGTCCCCAGAACATTGTCTGGGTCTCTGGTTTAATAGTCCAGCGATAATACCACTAGGCCATCGCCTCCCTATTTGGATGGAGGAGGGGCGAAGTCCCAGGACAGCTGTAATACCAGGATTTCAGCTCCACAGTAAGGAAGATTTTCAAGTTGTAGGGGGAATGTGGAGGGTACCAGAGGAGGTAATCTGTCCCCTGGCAAGAGTGCTGGGTACAAGTCGGGGTTAGGTTATGGGTGGTTGGTCCAGGGATGTATGTATCAGATCACAGGGGTGTCAGCTCAGGGTCTGTGGGGGTGGTGGGGTGTGAGGATCTGGAGGAGGTGCAGCTGGGGTATGTGAGATAAGTTAGGGTTTCAATTTAACAGTCACTGAGGCATTGGCTATTTATGGTGAGGCCATATGGGTAGAGATCAGGAATATGAAGGATACAATCATTTTGATAGAATTGTACTATAGGCCTCCAATAGCCAGGGGGAGATAGAGGAACAGATATGTGGACAGGTTATAGTAAAATGTAAAAACAACAGGGTTTGTTGTGGTAGGTGATTTTAACTTTCCCTGTATTGACCTGGGACTCGTTTAGTCCTGGGGCTTGGATGGGGAGAGTTTGTTTGGTGCATCCCGGATGGTTTTTGGAAACAGTATTTAAATAATCCAAGTAGGGCAGGGGTCATACTAGACCTGGTATTGGGAAATGAGTCCAGCCAGATGACTGAAGTTTCAATTTGGGAGCTTTTCAGGAACAGTGACCACAATTGTGTAACATTTAAGTCACTTCGAGATGAGGATAAAAGTAGTCCTCGAGTGAAAGTGTTAAAATGGGGCTAAGGCTAATTACAACAATATTAGGCAGGAAGTCAGAAATGTAGATTGGGGGCAGCTGTTTGAGGGTAAAAATACACTTGGCATGTGGGAATCTTTTAAAAGCCAGTCGATTAGAGTTCAGAACCAGCACGTTCCTGTGAAAATGAAGGATAAGGACTTGCAAGATTCAGGAACCTTAGATGACAAGAGAAATTGTGAGCTTAGGGTGTTATGGTGATAGGCTAGGTGGGTTAGCCATGGTAAATGTGGGGTTGCAGGGATAGAGTGGGGACTGAATTTGGAAACGATGCTCTTTGGAGGGTTAGTGCAGACTCAATGGGCCGAATGGCCTCTTTCCGCACTAGAGATTTTAAGGGCCTTGAATGCAATGCCAGAGGAGGTGATGGAAGCAAATACAAAAGCAATGTTTAAGAGGCATCTTGACATACATGAACAGACAGGGAAGAGATTTTTAATTTAGAAAGGCATCATATGTCAGCACAGGCTTGGTGGGCCGAAGGTCCTGTTCCTGTGCTGTACTGTTCTTTGTTAACATTTCCGGAGTAACTATTTACATAACTGCAGCAGTAAGTAGGTTGATGCATTTGGGATCTGCCCAGCAAGCTAAAGCACAAAACTCCTTCCTAATCTAACCTCCAATAAAGGGCCTGCGTTATACACACATGGCCCGTAAAATCCTAAAATTAATGGAAGTGGCATATAAAAAAAATCCACCGGGAGAGTAGATCACTTTTCAATTTCTTCTGGACATAGGCCTTCAAACAGTAGGTGGGGAAAGATTATTTCTGCAATGTAGAGAATTCAAACACAGGCTGGGCTGGGAAGGTCATACTAAGGATCACAAATTATTATTCTTTCTTGGGATGTGGGCATCACTAGCAAGGTCAGTATTTGTTACCCGTCGCAACTGACCTTGAACTGTGTGGCTTGCTCAACCATTCTGGGGCCATTGCTGTGGAGCTGGAGTCACATGCAGACTAGACTTCTGCTGCCTCACAGCACCAGCGACCCAGGTTCAATTCCACCCTCGGATGTCTGTCTGTGTGGAGTTTGCACATTCTCCCCGTGTCTGAGTGGGTTTTGCTCCGGTTTCCTCCCACAGTCCAAAGATGTGCAGGCTAGATGGATTGGCCATGCTAAATTGCCCGTAGTGTTCAGGGATGTGTAGATTAGGTGAGTAACAGCAGTATGGGGCTGGGTGGGATGGTCTGAGAGTTGGTGTGGACTTGTTGGGCCAAAGGACCTGTTTCCACCCTGTAGGGATTCTATGATATGAACCTCAGCTAGCAATGTATAACTAGACCTAGTATATAAGAAATCAGACTTGTACAGCATGGAAACATCACAATGGGGGCTTGTTCATGTAGGATGGAGGTTTAAATCTCACCAGTGCCAATCTGGAATGTTACCTTTTGCCAGTGGCTCCACTGTAATAATCTCACTGGAGTTCCCTCTTCCTGCTGCAGTAATTGCAACAACCCAGATGCTATAATGGCGATTTTGGCTGAGGTTGGGAATGCGGTAATAAAACGAGTCCGGTGAGGCTTCAAATTCACTGATTATCTGGGAAGGAAAACAAAGCCACTTACTGGTGCCTCACAGAAACCGAAGGTCAATTAAAGTGTCAACTTTTCACTGCGCTTTGTCAATCAATTGAAAAGATACTGTTATCCAGCAATAAGATCCCTCATGCCTGTGACATGTCTAATTCTGGAGGGCCCCGGTGTGTTGGTAGTTTGTAAATCAACATTGTTTTTGCTGTGGAACAGAAAGTTTGGTGGCTGCTGATTCCCACTTGGGCTGAGTCCACACTATCTGACATGCCCTCAAGGTCAGTGTGAGTGTCAATGCCGACAAACAAACAAAACAAAGATACCTGGTTTTACGAGTTCCATTCCCTGGAATCAAAGAGCCTGAAGGATTATTTAATCAAAGATTTCAACAGATTGAAGGGATTTGGGAGCATCCCTGATTTTTATTGTTCTGTGCTTTCAGAAACTCTCAATTCCCTCTCAACACTTTGCTTCTCTATATCTTGCCTCTTTTAGGTTGCTCCTTTAAGACTCATCTTTCAGAACAAGCTTTCACTTAACTGTCCTAATACCTTCCTATCTGGCTCCATGTGAAATTTGTTTTGATCATACTCCTGTGAAACACCTAGAGACATTTTACAATGTCAAAGATATTATAGAGATGGCCACAGTTCTTAAAGTTCCAGAGAGGATATCCCAAACTTCCAATCTCTGGAGTGAGGAGGGATGAACTGACTTCATTTTTATCTTTATTTATCCCTCTTGGTTGCTTACCACAGGTTTAATTTATAAAGGATTCCCTCTCTTGTAGGTTCCTCTCTCCAAAATCAAATGAATTTATGTTTTAAAGTGAGCCAATTTTATCAGGCTCTCTTGAGTTAACAAAATAGTGAGTTTATCAATTACTAAATGTAAGAAGCAATAATAATGTACTACACACACACACACACACACACACACATTACTTGAAGAGAGAAAGATGTACTGGTTGGTCTCTGGGTCATTCGTGAAGAGTAGATGGTGGGACAGAGTTTGGCTAAGTGGCTTATTTTTGGCTTTTCTGAAATGTTACTGAAATTTTAAAACATTTTGTTCCTTTCCTATAGATGGTGGCTGCTGACTTCTAGCGCTTAGAGAGAAAGATTCCCTTTACCTGCAATGCAGCTTAATTTAGATGAATGTGATGTGCTGCATTTTGGACGTCAAATCAGGCCAAGACTTATATACTTAATGGTAAGGTCGTGCGGAGTGTTAGTGATCAAAGAGACCTTGGAGTACAGGTTCATAGTTCCTTGAAAGTGGAGTCACAGGGTAGATAGGATTGTGAAGAAGACGTTTGGTACGCTTACCTTTATTGGCTAGTGCACTGAGTGTAGGAGTTGGGAGGTCATGTTGCAGCTGTACAGGACATTGGTTAGAACACTTTTGGAATACTGTGTGCAAATCTAATCTCCCTGCTATAGGAAGGCTATTGTGAAACTTAAAAGGGTTCAGAAAAGATTTTCAAGTATGTTGCCAGGGTTGGAAGGTTTGAACAATAGAGAGAGGCTTAATAGGCTGGGGCTATTTTCCCTGAAGCTGAGGGGTGTTATAGAGATTTATAAAATTATGAGGGGCATGGATAGGGTGAATAGACAAGGTCTTTTCCCGGGGTGGGGGAGTCCAAAGCTAGAGGGCATGGGTTTAAGGTGAGAGGGGACAGATTTAAAAGGGACCTGAGGGGCAACTTTTTCACGCAGAGGGTGGTGCGTGTATGAAATGAGCTGCCAGAGGAATTGGTGGAGGCTGGTAGAATTACAACATTTAAAAGGCATCTGGATGGGTATATGAATGGGAAGGGTTTAAAGGGATATGGGCCAAATGGTGGCAAATGGAACTAGATTAATTTAGGATAACTGGTCGGCATGGACGAGTTGGACCGAAGGGTCTGTTTTTGTGCTGTACATCTCTCTGATTCTATGACCACTGGGTCGTTCATTCACTGTGACTTTCACAGCAAACCAGTGTACAAACCCAGTCTTGTAACAGAAGTACCTCAGCCCACTGGCATACATGAACACACAACAAAAAAATCTGGAATTAAGAGTTTAATGACGACCATAAGTCCATTGCTGATTGTTGGAAAAATTTGTTCACTTATATCCTTCTAGGAATTTGCAGAGTCTAGGGGAGAATGGGCTTTTCATTCCTGTCCTTGTGTATTATAATAGGGGTTTTGTGGAGTACATACTCATCTGGAGTATGAACACCAGCACAGATTAGAAAAGTCAACAGACTTGTTTCAGTGATGTACATTCTAAACGATTCAGTGTAGCAACATACAAGGCTTGGTCCTCTATTAACACCAGTGGAAAGTTTTTCAAGGGCCTGGAGGGTGGGTTTGGGAGGAGGCTGGAGTTACCCAAAGTCACATAAAACAGGGAAGTGTTTCCTGTTAGTGATTCCTCCGTTTCTCACCCCAGACCTGTTGAGTATTGTGAAACATTTTCTGTTTTTATTAAAGGTGTATTCTGTGCCTAGCAACCTGATTTCAGCTAGAACAATGATTGGTAAACATGTCAGGAACCCAGTGCTTGACATAAAACCACCCTGTACAATACTGGCACTACAGAAACATATATGAGAAGGACCTTGCTGCTTGAGGATGAGAAAGGCTGAATAGTTTAAACTCAGCTCATGTTTTTCTCGATTCCTTTTTGGGATGTGGGCGTCGCTGGCTGGTCAGCATTTCTTGCCCATCCCTAATTGTTCTTGAGAAGGAAGTGGTGAGCTGCCTTCTTGAACTGCTGCAGTCCTCCTGCTGTGGGTTGACCCAAAACGCTATTAGGGAGGGAATACCAGGATTTTGACCCAGCAACAGTGAAGGAGCGGTGATACATTTCCAAGTCAGGATGATGAGCGGCTTGTAGGGGAACTTGGAGGTGGTGGTGTTCCTATATATCTGCTGACCTTGTCCTTCTAGATGGAAGTGGTCGTAGGTTTGGAAGGTGCTGTCTGAGGATCTTTGGTGAATTTCTGCCGTGCATCTTGTAGATAGTACACACTGTTGCTACTGAGCATCGGTGTTGGAGGGAGTAGATGCTTGTAGGTGTAATGCCAATCAAGCGGGCTGCTTTGTCCTGGATGGTGTCAATCTTCTTGAGTGTTGTTGCACCCATCCAGGCAAGTGGGGAGGATTCCATCACACTCTTGACCTGTGCCTTATGGATGGTGGACAGACTTTGAGGAATCGGGAGGGGAGTTACTTGCTGCAGTATTCCCAGCTTCTGGCCTGCTCTTGTAGCCACTGTGTACATTGCTGCTGTTTGATAATTATGAAAGGAGCCAACCTCACGAATCACCAAGCTCATTAATTTATACCCAGTTAAGCTGCCTACTACACAGAAGTGAGGGCTCTTGCTTTGTAGTGCAAAACAGTGCTCAGCTTTTTGAGATCACAACGACTGAATAAAAAAACAGGGGGAGAGTACTTAATTCTGCCTGATTGTATTACCAAACAACCCCAGCAAACTTTACAGGTACACAAGATATTAAACAGAGAAATATATCAACATAACTTGAGACAGGGGAACTTTGGTGAAAGCTGAAATCAGTTCTCCTATCATGAAGAAATCTTCCTACAGGGAATTCAACCCACAAAGTGTAATTCCAGCTGATGTTGCAGGTGCAGGGATGATGATTCATTCAAGAGGGTTCTATAATGGGATGGTTGGATATGGACAGATGAGTTGAAATGATTTGCCTTCAATGCCCAATGAATGAAATTCAAAAGAAGTTAGGAGTATTAGTTACTCATGAATGCAGCAATGGTACAGTCTGACTCAGCATAGAGTAACGTAGATTTTTGTCCACTGATGACAATGAAAACAGTGTTCCCTTTTAGATGAACCAGACATCTAAGGTAGGCAAAGGGTTAAGAAAACAGTAAATAATTAATCAAGGACCTTACTAATTTATGCCCAGGTAGGCAGCGTACGACACAGAACTGTAAAATATTCAGGCTCGTGAAGAACTCAGCATGGTTATATGTTACAAAGGATAGGCTTGGGAAACATACTGTGGCTGTTTGTGATGTGAGGAATATATAATTCCCAATGAAGTGTACAACCTTTTTCATTTATATAGTGACTTCAACTGCATAATGCACTCCAGGCTGCTTGACAGATATGTTATCATAGGTTATTGGACACTGAACAAAATAAGGAAATGAAGGATTGACATTTTTTTATTCATCGATATGATGTGGGTGTTGATGTCAGACAGCGTTTATTGCCCATTTCCAGTTGCCCTCAAGAAGTTAATGGTTGTGTTGTTACATCTGCCAGCCAGTACTCCATATACCTTTAAGAGACATGTTCATTAGATCGGCACCATATCATAACATACAACCCAAGGATAAAAAGATCTATGTTTCCATCTTAACTGGGACCATTTGGTGCATGACATGCTGATGGAAGCTTACAACTCTTTGAAGTTCCTATGACTGTAATATACTTCTATGTCAAGAGCTGTAACAAACACCTATTGAATCTTTTATTAATATGTTACCCATATTTATTTCTTATGTTATAGAATCTAACAACGTTTGCAGCATCAGATACAAACACCCTCTTGGAGGAAAAAGCCTTCAACGCAATGAAAGATCACAGTGGTAAAGCTGTAAAGTGATTTATAAAAGAGTCTGAGTTCTTGGTGGCAGACAGATGGAAGCTCTTCTGAAGATCAGACAGCCCTAGGCGTGAAAGCATTTAGAAAACTAACAGCACCGAGTCCTCTCAGTCGAGATCTTCAGATTTAAAACAGAGAAAGGCAGACCTTTTTTCTGCTTGACGTACAAGTCCTGTCAAGCTAGAAGCCCTGTCTCTCACAAAGAAAATTCAGCCTGCTTTCCTATTTAAAAGTCATAAAATGGCAGTCAAAGGCTGCTCTCATTTTAAATACAGCACCCTCCTGATCGAACTTACAGCTTTTAAACTCTAAAATGTATTGTGCTAAGCTAAGGTAGTCTACCTGTGTGCTGAAGTTGGTTAT